TATACTTTGGCTTGTGGATAATTCACGCTTAATTCTCGATTAAGGTTCGCAGTAAGCTGCTAGCTCTATGGTTGCTACGAAAGCAGAGGCTTCAAGTGTGCTCTTCTGAGCAAATCATTTTCAATTTGTCAGGACTTTCAATAGTTGCTACGAAAGCAGAGACTTTAAGTGTGCCCTTCTGATCAAATCTCTTTTAATTTGTCAGAACTTCTAAAAGAAACTATCACTATCCTAGTAATAGCAGAAAGAGAGGAGAATCGTAAATAAATATCCTTTCAAAGGTTGATCTGACAAGAGGTCCTTTCCAAGAGGGAGAGTTTTTCTTTAAAGAGTAAGAATTTTTAATTTAAAGTAACAGGGTTTCCCTTATAAACTGGCAAAATTTTTTTTTTTTGCCAAGAGACACCAAATTGTTATAAGTGAACTGTAGCCTTCTTAATATAGCACAAGTAACAAAGCACACAGCTATAAAGCTTCGTTGTAAGATTATAGCAGTATGAAAGTAGAAAATAACTTCACTAAGGGCAGTTCATAGAAAGTATATAGTTTAAAGAAAGATATATTTTATTTACAATATAAGACTTTAATTACAAGATATAATATTCCTATAACTAAAAGGTATCTGTATCTAGAGAAGGTATCTGAGTCTTATCTGGCAGGAAAGGAAAAAGCCAGGATTTATATATCTTTTTCTTAATCTAATAAAACTAATATAAATAATAAGAAATGGTAAAAACGGTAGAAATGGTAAAAACAGTAGAAATAGTAAAAATAGTAGAAATAGTAGAAATGGTAGAAATAGTAGAAATGATAGAAATGGTAGAAATGGTAGAAATGGTAGAAATGGTAGAAATGGTAGAAATGGTAACCATTCTTCCTGTTCATCACATTACGTAAAACTACTTAATAATATTACATGATGATATAATAATACAACAATATAATATAATATAATAATAATAATAATACTAATAATAATACTAAATAATACTAATAATAAGAAATTTAAAAAACTCATTTTATAACAATAGATAGTTTTGAAATAATCTCTATATGTGTTCTGAAATAACACATATCTAATAGTAAGGTAGTAAAATTTAAAAAATACTCCAGAACTAGATTTGGTTTTATGTAAATCTACTTTTAAGCTTTAACAAAAATTGTTCTTCAGATCGAGACAATTCTAATAGTATTAAGTTTATCAAGAACAACTCAGTATACTGTCCATAATGGCTCTCCAAAGTTTTGCAACTTATGTAAACAAAGATAAACAAATATTGCAAAACTTCAAAGAGCCATTGCGGATAATATACTAGACCATTTTTAATGAACTTTAATTAAAGCTCAAAAGTAGATTTACTTAGTACCGAATCTAGTTTTGGAGCATTTTTATTTGTTCACTTTTTATATAAAAAATATATATAATTTTATATTTGTTTCAAAATAACACCTATATGTGTACTCAAAATAACACGCATGTATTTAAAATAATATGCAGATACCTGTTATTTCATAAATTTATGGTATAAATAAACTATATAAACTACATATATGAAAAGTTTATGAATTAAGTAAAAAGATCAATCATATCAGAATTAGCCATTTTTGCTACATGAGTTATGTTGCTTCTGCTAAAAGTGAAAGATTCTGGTCATTTATCCATTCGCTCCAGTGTAACAAATTTATAAATGAATATGCAACAAAAAATAATATAAACTCAATAGCATATTGCACAAAAAAGAAATAATTCACATCATATTGTTCAAAATAAAGAAAATAGACTTGATCAAATCATTCAAACTAATACAGCTAATTCTAATGAAGCATGTCTTGAAAATACTGTATCAAATATTGAATTTAATAATAAAGCATGTCTTGAAAATACTGTATCGAATATTGAATTTGATGATATGAAAAATAATAAAAATTTGAAAGAAAATTTTGAAAAAAATGTAATACAAACAATTGAAAACATTGATAATTTTAATCCTAAATATCAAATTATATATAATGAAGCTATAAATGAATCTTTTATTCAAGCCACATATAGTATTCAAGAAAAAACTTTAGAGGCTAGGTAGTTTAGAAAATCTTGATAATGTTTAATTATTAAATTAATCATTAATTGCATATGATAAATTGAACTTGCTGCTAAAAATATAAATTTATTTTTTTTAAAAAAAATAATAAATATTCAACTTGAAGTCTTTTTTTTATCTTGGTGTATTGATTTTACCATAATTTGTAAGAATATATTAAAATATGTAAAAATATGTAAGAATATATAAAATTTTTGCCCATCTCTAACCTTGATGCACTAATCAAAAATGTCGGGAACGAAATTTTACATATTGCAAGCAACAATCTATTGTTATGCCGCTAATGTTGACTCCCTAACCTTAAACTTTATTTACAAAATTCTATTTCCTTTTTTGGGTTGTGTTACTCGCGCAAATAAGTAAAACCCATTGGACACTGTTACGACCAGTTAATGCGATGTCAAATATGCACATATGTGGTCACGTTTTATGTATATCATATGGTCACATATGTGCTGCCGTATTTTTTTAAACCTTCTAGCGATGGTTTCTCAACGACCACTGGGTCAAACTCGGTAATTTTTTTTTTAATTTTAATCACATAAACTTATAGAATGAAAATAAAGAAAAATTTATTAAAATTGGTCTGGTCGTTGCCAAGAAATATTCCTATAAAATTTAAAAAAACGTTGAACATAGAAAAAACAAGGCCGCAATTGTATTTTTTTTAAAACAATACAATTGCGGTCTTGATTTTCTAAGATGTTTTTAACATTTTTTAAAATTTTAAACGAATATTTCTCGACAACTACCAGATCAATTTTAATAATCTTTTTTTTTTATTTTCATTCTACAAGTTGATAGGATTAAAATAAAAAAAAAATTACCGAATTTGACCCAGTAGTCGTTGAGCTAAAAGGCACATATGTGCCCATATGATATACATAAAACGTGACCAAATATGTACATATTTGCACATCACATTTTTCAGTCCACTCTACGACCAGTGGAGAGACTTTATATCAATTTAGCTTAGGGTCGTAAGCATTAAAATGAGAAACTAAATTATTTATTATCAGACATAAAGTACTAAACCAATATCCCTTTATTGTGTCCCAGACACTCAAGCAACAAATATTCCTATTCAACTAACCAACCTAGCAAGTTCCAAACTTACTAAAACCCTTTTCTAAAACTAAAGAACTGACTAAAAACTGACTAAAAACTGACTAAAGAACTAAAAACAAAAGTGCTCTATTTATACAGACTATTAGACTACAAATAAGCTATATGCTATTTACATATATGTAGTATAACGATATAAAGTCTAATTAAAGTATACTTTATACTACGTATAAACTTTGCACAAAAGTATGTATGTTACACAAGCGAAAGTTTAATTATGAAACTTGGTTGCGTAACAACACCCCATCGCTACGCTTCGGACAACCTGTTCCATATGGGCGGATTTTCACCAATTGGGCACTGAATAGAGCCACTAAATTCGGGTTCAACCCCTTATTTAATTTCTTCGATTGGTCTAACGAATTATTAGGATGACTGTGTTTATTTTTCGAGGGTCCATCCTGCAAGAAGGATTTAATGAATATGCATAAAACCCATTAGATTTTGTCTAATTTATTAGTCTAGGCCTACTGAGACATGTAGTTTGAAATTGTTAGTTATAAGTATATGTTCCACTATAAAAATTTTTTAGGGTACTAGGTTCTCTCTTTTGCATATTGCAAATCCGCTCATATGCGAAAACAGCCGAGTCCTATAAACCAAGAAAGGAAATCGTTATAGCAATACGTACAAAATTTTAAAATCGGAAAATGAAATGGATTTCCACATTTTAACTTTGAAACCAAACCGAACTTCCCCATCCCTAGATTTAAACATTAGTTTTGAGTATCTTCGTTTTTTTCTTCTTTCGCTCGCGCTATAAAATATCTATTTAATCCATTTTAAACCAACAAACTTTTTTTTTTTTCTGTAGTCTGATTCTATTCGTATAATTCATTTAAACCATTCTATTCAGAAAATTTTTATTTTTTTTTATAAACTCTAGCAAATGTCTAGTCTATTTAATTTCGCTTTAGATAAAGTTAAGGTTATAAGTTCATACGTACCTTTTGTAAAGGATGTGGTGGAAAAGGTGGAAAATGCCGTTTCAAATCGTTCTGATGCTGTACGTTCATACGTACCTTTTTTAAATGCATCGGAGGCCCCAGTTAGAGAAGATAATCAAATCTACGAAAATGCGGAATGCAACAAAGAGCTTTGTTCAATTATGGTTAAACGAGTAAATATTGCGGAATCCGCTATAAGAAAAAAGTTAGAAAGAAATGAAAGCAAAGACTATTATCAAAAACATTATTTGTCTTTTGAAAAATTGGAAGATAACTTAAACCGTATTAAAGAATTTACTAATGAAGTGTCAAAACTGCAAGGTCTTAAAAAAATTCTTGAAGCAACCTATATTACAAAAAAATACGAAAACTTAATGAAAGAACTCGATACATTAATGATGGATTTAGATTTATCGCATTTATTGGAAAATTGGTTCCAAAAAGCAATTAACAACTATGATTTGAAGGAAATACCTTTTATTAATTTTGGAAAATTAAAGTTTGTAGGTCGTGGTGCATTTGGGAATGTTTTTCGGACTTCTTGCAAATCAATTAAGGAAGAAGTGGTTGCCATAAAAGAAATGCACATTGAAGATAACGAAACAGACATTAAAATGTTTCTTAATGAGGTTTGTGTAGTCATGGTTTTAATGAAGCAAAATTTCATCGTCCAAAATTCGGGTCAAACTTGCAGATCATTTGACCAGATTTAAAATTGTTTTGTTGTAGATATGGCCAGTGTTAAATATCTAATGCATTAAAATATCTTTGAGAACACATTATTTAAAGATTATAAGATTATGTTCTCATTTGAGAACATAAAATTTGTAAATTGTATTATAAAATAATCTAAGAACATTAAAAATCTTTCCGAGATCCTAAAATTTATATCCTCAAATAACAAAAAAATTTTCAGATATTTTTCACTGGATCTGGCCAAATGATCTGCAAATTTGAAATTATGAACGATGGGTTCCTCTATTTATTAGATGATGCATATGCTTTTCCAAACTATACACATTGATATAATATATTATATAATGCTTAATTAGTTAAAACTACATGGTCAAGTTTCGCATCAAGGAATTATCCAACTTTATGGAGTAAGTAAAGGTTAGTAATTTTATATTCTTTTTTATGCAAATGTATACTTTTATTAATACTTAATCATAATAAAGACTATGATCGTGGAGCTTACTACCTCGTGATGGAATATGCAAACTGCGGAACTTTAGAACAATATTTGGAAAAAAACGCCATGCTTTCTTGGGATAATAAGGTTAAATTAGCAGTACAATTAGTTGATGGAACGCATCATTTACACAGCAAGAAGATCATTCACCGCGATTTAGTATGCATTATTTTAAAATAATTCATTTAAAGCTATCTTAATCTAACAAATGATACAAATTTCCTTAGCATTCAAAGAATGTCCTCATTAATCATGGAAACGTAAAAATTGCTGATTTTGGTTTATCAAAAAATCTCAATAGTACAATATCAGCTTCTAATAAACTTCGTGGAATAATCGCCTATATTGACCCCCAAAAGTTTCGCGATGAAAGTTATATTCTGGATAAAAGATCAGACATTTATAGTATTGGTGTCCTTCTTTGGGAACTTTCAAGCTGCAGAATCCCTTTTAAAGGAATGGATCAAACTTTACTTGATTTTCATATTCTTAATAATGGTTTGCGAGAAACCCCCATAAATAATACTCCCTTGCAATATTTTGAATTATATTCTAAATGCTGGCATGGTGAACCTTCTGAACGACCTGAAATGGATCAAATTCTTAATAACTTGAAATCTCTGAAATACGAGCCGGTTTATCATGAATCAGATGGAATTTCAATTTAATAAACATCATTATTGTCAAACACTTAGTTAAGGTAATAAATATTCAGTAACTACTATGCTTATTACTATAATTTTGCAAATGGTTTTGTTTTCTGATTACAAATTTTTACTAGCTTCTGGGCGCGTCCTTATTATCCCTTAAACCGTTTAAATAATTTTTAAGAAGTTTTTTAAAATTTTCTCAAAATTTATTTAAGCTTGTTCTCCTATTTATTCAATAAAATTAAAGATATCTCTTTTATAAATAATATATTTAAATTTTATTATTTTATTTTTAATTTTG